CAAGTGACAGCAAGTCATGGGAATAAGTAACATTTAGTGGGGTGCCATTTCTAGTAGCACTCTTTGGCACACAAATCTGCTTTATCATTTTCACAAATACCACTATGATTAGGTATCCAGGCTAAACAGACGGAAATCCCTTTATGATGACACCTATACAGAATGCTTTTTATATCAAGAATTAGGGCAAATTTATATTTACTTTGAAATTGGTTAGCCAAAATAGCAGATAAACAACTCTTAGAATCGCTAAAGATCACTGTCTTGTCTAGGCTATGTGATTCAACATATAGCATAGCTTCATGGATTGCAATTGTCTCAGCAGTAAAAATGGAACATAATGAAGGGCACTTAAAGCTAAGAATTATTTTAAACCTGGGGATCCAGACAGCTGCACTAGTGCAACCATCATCAGTATTTTTGGATGCGTCTGTATACATGGTCATCCAATTTTTCCATATGGCTTCTTTTAATTTTAAATCTGCTTCAGGAGAACCTTTTCTAATATCTAGGTCAAGGTGAATGTTAGGTTGATATATAATAGCTTTGAAAGGAGTATTAAAGAGTGGACTTAATATTTATATTAAACTAAAAAAACTATTGCATGAGAAAATGGGCCCAGGAATTTGGAGAAATGAGACTAAGCTATTAAATAAATGTGGACAATCTTTATGGAGCCAGTACCTACTCGAAGATAAGAATTCTGAGAGGAGGTGTAACCTGGGAATTAGGGGATGAGAAGAGAGTTGACAGATCTTAAAGAAGAATCTGTCTGAAGTGACGATTTATTGCAAGGCTCTAAAAGAAAGCATCCATAATCTCAATAACTACGAATTATAGCATTATATAGTAGCTTTTGTAAAAAAGGGTGAGATCCCCACCACACTCCTGAAAGGGAACGAAGAATATTTATATCCTTCTCACACTTTTTAGAAATGTATTCAATGTGTTGTGTAAAGGATAATTTATTATCTAGTACCATACCTAAAAATTTTACCTTGTCCCGAATAGGAATAGGTAAGCCATTATATAAAACTGGAATATTAGGGACATTCTTATGGCGAGTAAAAATCACTATACTACTTTTGGAAACAGAGAGGGATAGTCAATGATCAGTTAACCAGCATTGTAAATATTCCATAGTAGAATTTAACCGGGAATTAGCTGTAGTCAGGTTACCTGTAGAAATGTATAGGGCTAAATCATCTGCATACTGTAGGACATTTCAAAATGAATTGACTGCAAGATCTAAATCGAAAGTGTAGATAGTGTAGAGAATAGGACTGAGGACTGAGCCTTGTGGAAGACCTTTCCAAATATGTCGGGGGGGGGGGGAGTAGTGAGTTTTGAAAGTTTATTAAAATAGACCGAGAAGAGAAAAAGTTTGATATATAATTTACTATCTACACTCAGCTTCAGCATTTTTTGCCTGAGTACAGGAAGAAGTACATTGTCGTATGCAGATGAAATATCGAGAAAAACTCCAACAAGGTATTCATTTTTAGAAAAAGCAATACGGATGTCAGTTACTAGTGTACTGAGGCTATCCATAGTGCTTAAGCTTTTTCGAAAGCCAAATTGGCTCTTCGATAAAACATCCTTACTCTCTAGGAACCATTCTAACCGATTTTTTATCAAATGTTCTAGTATCTTTGCCATTGTACACGACAGTGCAATGGGTCTGTAACTTGAAAAGTCTTCACTGGCTTTACCCGGTTTGAGAATAGGAAGTATTGTTTGGGTCTTCCATTCTTTGGGAGGAATTCCAGAGTCAAAAATGTGGTTCAGAATATCAAGAAATACAGTTTTAGCTTTTTTTACTGCTTTTAATAATGAATGAGTAAGGAATCCCATCTACTCTTGGAGAGGAGTCCTTAAGACCCTGAAGGACTGTAAATTATTCCTCGTATGAAAAGGGGGCATCAAATTCATCTAGAGATTGTGTAGAAGGAGAATTAAAAACTAAACATTCAGCGTGTGTGGGCACTGAAGGAGGAGCACGATTAAGTGCAAATTCTTCAAGCCAAATTGAAGGGTCATTGGAAGACACATTCTGTTCAACTGTATTAGAACAGGGATATCTTTTAATGTTTTTCCATACTAGAGAAGGAGGTGTGGAAGGAGATAAAGTAGAACAAAACCTATGCCAGCCGTTTTTTTTTCTTCTGAGATAGCAATTTCACTGTTTCAGCTGCTATTTGTTTATAGAAAATGTAGTTTTCCATGGTCATTGATAAAGAGTATTTTTGTTCAGCCTATTTCCTTTTTTTGCAAGCAGATGTGCAATCCTGATCCCACCAAGGAGGTGAGGCCAAATTGCTTCTGTAGGGTTGTTTTAAAGGAATAGTCTTATTGGCAGAAGATAATAATGTATTTTTGAATTCCGTATAGACTGAATGTACATTTTCATGGTGCAAAGAAGGAATTGTTGATGTTGCTTGATCTAAAACAGAAGAATAATAATGCCAGTCTGCCTTTCATAAATTATATTTCAGAATTTGCTCTTGTAGAGTCAGCAGATGTGATAAAAATTGGATAGTGATCACTACCATGTGAATTTGGTAATGTTTTCCATGATAGAAGGGAAACTAAGCCAGGAGAACAAAGAGTCAAGTCCACTACACTTCTTACATTCTGAGAAGGTGAATGTTGATAGTTATTGAAGTAAGCTGAGTAAGTTTATGACGTAAACTGAGGGGAAGTTCTGCGTCACTGAAACGGGAAATCATGTTAATTAACATTGATACCATAAGTTCGCAGAAGTTATCATTATTAGAGATGTTGTCATTTCCCAGTAAAGCACACCCATTTGGAAGGGAAGAATGAGGGTTCTCAACAATTGCCTGATGGGCTGGCTTATCATATCCAGAATTTGATGATTGTCTGTAAGTACGTTGAGGAATAAAGATTGTTTTTTATATGATGTACATTGTGAAGGTTGAGCCGTAGGAGCTGAAATACTGTCATTTATAGGTTAAGGGGTCTGATGAGAAGAATTACGAGGCGGACTTCTTGTTGCGTCAGCAAAGGATCTTCGTACCAGAGGGAATCTAGTTGAAGCTTCTAAATATGATAAATTTTCTTGTGACATAACTAGTTTAATAGATTTTTGTCTAAGATGTTCAGGGCAGGTAGGGTCTTTTGCTGTGTGGGGTCCTGAGCAGAATAGACAAGTAGGAGTTTGCCTAGTACATGATAAACCTTCATGATTCTGTGCACATATAAAGCAGCGAGGGGATGATCGGCCCTGAGAAGTAACATGAGCAAATCTGCAACATTTATGACACTGAATGAGTGGCAGAACATATTTTTCTACTGGCATAGAGGTGTAAAAACAGTAAATATGTGGTGGAAGTTTTTGTCCAGAAAAAGTTAGAACTACTGTTTGAGTTGGAATCCATGAAACGTTATTGCTGTCACTCACTGATCGTCTATTGGGTCGGCGAGCTTTAATTATAGTACCATATCCAGAGGGAATTTCTATAGCTGCTGTTATTATTAATTATTGTAATGTCCACTCTATAGGAACTTGTCTGACTAGTCCTATACGAGTGATATTATATGAAGGGATAGTTGTTTCATATTTAGAAGTCTGAAGAGCTGGGTGATCAATAAAAGTGTTTGCATCCACTGCTGTTTTAAACTCATCTGATATCCTGTTTCGTCCAACTTTTTTGACGCCGTCACAAACTATATTTTTAATGTTATTATGATACAGAAAGTGACCAAATTTAATTGGTTTGAGAGTTACTCTGGACACTTGATCATTTGACGTAAAACGTGAACTAGAATCTCATCTTGAGAGTACTTTACTTTCTTATTAATAAAATCAGGTTGGGTATATGAGGATTGTATTGGAGGAAACTGTTGGTTTGGATCAGTAATAACTATTTTTTGTGGATGGGCAGACCCATTGCTTATTTGGGCGCGTTTACGATTAATAGATTCTACATTATCAACGGGTAAAGTAGAGGAGTTATTGTGAACCCTTTCGGGATCGGAAGGTTCGTCCTCCATTATATTTCTATAACTAAAATTTACATAAAAACGGCACAATTAAAAACACTTACTAATCTACAGATGTTAAAACCACCACCAAGACAAAAAAATTTACTATAGTGACTCAACAGCACTTAATGTAACAATAAATTTAAGCGAAAAAAACTACGACACTTGTATCTCTCACTTAACCTCAAAGCAAAGTCCCCAGCAAATCTTTATAACAACTACTAATAAGTATGTGACACAATATTATAAAACACACGACACTTTGCATAGGCATACAAACATTTATTATGTATTTGACAAACACTATAAAGATATACAACAACTCTTTATAGGCATACAAAAAACATTAATAAGCTTACGTACAATTGTAAGCTTACGTGACTAAAACTTAAATAACTACATAGATCGTCTTAAATCTAGGCTGTTATTGACAGTGGCGGTTTGCTAAAATTTACCAATGACGTATTGAGTGGAATATGAAACATAGATAAGAGTGTATATACTGACAATAAGTGGTGGGGGTAAAACCACGTACCGCGTCTTTCATGTTGATCATTCAAATCGCGAACGCAGACCATTACATACCATAAAGTACATAGTAATACAATTACAAGATTATAACTATTAATTTTATTTAAGATAGTTACCAAGGTACACATACACGTATTTATTTTAGGACGCGTGATCGCATTTGAGTAATAGCGCCATCTATTATATTTTCTACGTACCACTATGATAGTTAATCAATTTTGGTTCAATGAAATGACTTTATGTCTAGAATGAAGTAGATGGCGCTATTAGAAGGCAGGACAGTGTCTGCCAAGCTAGCTAGTATGTATATGAAAATGTCACTGTGCTAGTCAGTAAGGTTTCAGTTACCTTTAGTATAAAGTTTGAGTCGATGCTGCACAGAGGTGATAGCTCCAAGCACAGAAAGCCTGTTAACATGTGACTTGATGTTAAAGGCTGTTCCAAATTCATCCGCCAACATTTTAGAGACTCGCGAGATCTGATCCTTTGGTGGGATGATCAGTGAAATCATTGATGTTCCATTGCTAAAAGCAGAGAAAAGATACAAACATTATAATTTACAGTAAGGACAAGTAGTTACCAAGGTACACATACACGTATTTATTTTAGAACGCGTGATCGCATTTGAGTAATAGCGCCATCTATTATATTTTCTACGTACCACTATGATAGTTAAGCAATTTTGGTTCAATGAAATGACTTTATGTCTAGAAATTAACAAGGGAAGTAATTTTGAAGCCCAATAACGCAGAGCAGTGTTTACTTTAAATAACAATTTGTAAATTTTCATTTAAATAAATTTCTGTTGAGATTATATTAAACTTTGGTTGAATTATAATTACATTAATAATAAATAATTACCTAATTAACAAACTTTAAAAGTGTTTTGTGTTATACTGGTATCTATAATAATTACTTCATTCACTGTGGTGAGTCCTAGTGTTGCCTGAACTGATAATTTCTCTTCTCAAGATCAAAGAAGATGATGCACTGTGACACATATGTATATAATTTTATGTAAATAAATGAATGATATTCACAATCTATGCTATTCAAAAGTCATTCATAAATAATTGAAATGTTTCCCTGTAATACAAAAGTTTCACTTCTATCTTGTGTCTTCATGACACACTGATTTTTGACGTGACAACGTCGTATAATTCCATAGACTTTGTATCTTATAGACTAAGCATTCCGTGACGTCATCAGCGTGTGAAAGGAATGCACGTATATAGTTAGACATAAGAGTAAGGGAGAAGCAAATCTATATTTCTTGTCTTTTTCTAGGTATGCGTTTTTAATTGTTTTCCCTCCTTTATTTGACATTAACGATGTCAAGCTCTTGTAAATAACATTGATATTATAAGCAAACAGGTAATTGAATTTAGTGTTGTTTGTGGGTTTTAGTTATTAGGTAAGGTTAAAAAGATGGTAAGTTGTAGCATTTTAGGATGCAACAGCATCAGTCAACGAAAAATTGATAATATTATCTTTCATCGGTAAGTTTGTTTTGTGCTTACATTTGCTACTTGTACTGATTAATATCTATTGTTTTGAATAAAAAGTGTAACATTTCATGTGTTTAATGAACTTTGTGATGTATTTTGTCAAATATTTGGACTCCCAAATTGTAAATTCTTCATGATAATGCTCCTTAATTTGAACGGTCATTCGAAAGCTTAAAGTCATAACAAACGTGTACTCTTTATTTGGTAGGATTATAGAAACTTTAGGGATATCAGCGAGTATACATACACTTTTATGTTCAGCTTTAAAGGAAACTCCTTATTGCCCTACAACTCTTCAATCATTTTCCATATTACATAGACATCACTAATAATATTATGTAAGTATCAACCTGAAAACATGTTTGGATTCAAGTACATAAACATTGGGCAAAGTATATTTAATTTCACAAAATATGTATTGCCTGAAATCAGATGCACAAAACTTAATTGAATTCCATTAATTCTATTATACATTAGCAACAATTACATTACAATATTTATTAAAAAAAGAAATATGTCATACTAATATAAAAATAAATATAAACTTAGATAAAATAATAAATAAATAAATAAGTCTTAATCTTAAGGTACACAAAAAGAATAAAATAATTTACAAGGGCGTGGCCAGGGGGGAGGCAGCTGCCCCCTCCCCATCCATCCGCCTAGTGACTCAAAAGAATGTAGTCAAATGCAAAGCAACCAGTCTTATTTATGGTACAGTTTATAGCTCGTAGAGTTTGACACATTGGAATTTGTACCGTTCTTATTACAATTCTCTCTTCTCTTATTACAATGGCCGGTAGACGCACAAAATCCTATTTCACTATTTCCTACTAATATTATAAACGTGAAAGTTTGCGAGGATGTTTGTTACTCTTTCATGCATAAACTACTGAATTGATTTTAATGAAACTTCACAGTAATATATACTCATACATCATAACACATAAGCTATAGTTCATGAAAATATTGTGTAAATTGGCCAAAATATAGCGATAGATGTTAAGTAAGTCTGAAAAATAAAAATGTAAGGTAAAAATCCGTTTTAGGAATGTAACCGTTTCGATATCAAAGTGTCGATAATGTTGTTGAAGGTTACTAAGTTTGTAATGCTTTACGATATAATAATAGGGAATATGCATGCTTTTTTAGTGTATAAATCTGTTTATTATGATTCCCGTCACACCAAAAAAGTCATATAAACTTTTTAAATCATGAATAACGTAATGAACTAAATGAAATGTCATGAAATAATACATTTAATTTCCAATAGATAAGAATCAATTTAAACAGCAGCCACATTGGTAGCATCTCGGATGACGTCACTAGGTCCATTAGTGGCTATATTTATATGATTAAATATACATTTAATATAAGAAAAATATGATAGGTCGGTCGGCGTCGAAGGCACATCGCGAAACATCAAATCCAATAAGCGAGCGCCTCCATGTTTTAAATTCGTTTCTTTTACAAAAATACACTTTAAATCTAACGTATTTTAGAATAGCACTGAACTTAAAAGTTGTTACACGATAAATTATTATAAAAATTCACAAGTTTGCGCGTTTACCACTAAAAAGAACACCTTTGTAGTATCTCCCCAATTTCAGAGCACTTCCCTTTTTGTCGCAGCCAGTAGCGGAATCTTCGGCGACAACATATGGAATGACCTGCAGAAGCATGGTCACTTGAAAGAGAAAGCTAGATTGGCTTTTAAAAAGCTTGGCGTACTCCGTAGAGCGGGTCAGTGCCTATTTCATGCCTACACACAACTTTACAAGCGCAGGTTCGGCCACATATGAAATACTGTTCTGATCTCTGGGCCGGTGCTCCCCAGTGCGAGCTCCTTCCACTTGACCGCATAGAGAGCAGAGCGGCTCGAATCATCGACGATCGAGTTTTCTTTGATTTGCTCGATTCACTGGCGCTATGTAGGGATGTTGGATCCCTTTGAATTTTCTATCGTATTTACGATGGAGAGTGCTCTGAGGAATTGTTCGGATTAATTCCAGCCACCAAATTTCACCAACACACATCGCGACAAAACTTGCGTTACCACCCACATCACTTAGATGCTTGGTGGCCCACTACCATGCGATTTATTAGGAGTTTTCTCAGGAATCGTTTACCATCGGCGATTTTTATTGACTGATACGACTTAGGGACCTTAAAGAAACGAGCTTACTCCTTTTTAAAAGGCCGGCAATGCATCTGCAATTCTCCTAGTTTTGTAGAACTATATTAAAATTTTAAAAAGGAAGCTGTCTCATTCACTGGTTGTATGGGTTGTAATAACACAACAACATAAGATAATATTCTCAATTAATGATGTAGAAAAAATTTGATGATAATATACTTACCGTTACCATTAGTCAGTATCAAAAGTCAAAAGTTATAGTTTTTGTGATAGTTGCCTAGCTTGGCAGGAGAATTGGCAACTGCAGTTATTTGGAGACAAACTGTGTGGGAGGCCTATGTTCAGCTGTGGAGGACATAACTATGTTAGACTGTAAATGTATTAATTAACAATATCTGAAGCTTAATATGTACATACATTTTTTAAATGTTTGGTATGAGTAATATTATCATTACATTTACATATACTTGCTATTTAATTAAATCAATTGATATTGTATTAATTGTTATAGGTATTGTATTTCCGTCCTCAAGTCATCAAGAGTCGAGTTGGACGCAAAAAGGGAGCCTAAAAGGTCGGCTTTGTCTTTTGCGTCTTGGGCCAGTGAGTCGTCCTCCCTGTGCAGAGATGGTAGTGATGGCTTACAGAAATTCCCTTGGACAGCCTTGGCGAGAGACCAGAATGCACGGGTTCCCGAAGGAAGGCGAACTAGTTTCTCGCCAATTCTGCCCATGTGCTCTGACTTGGCAATAACTCTTTTGAAGGACCTGGAGGCGAAATTATACTTCTTTTTAAATGTGCTGGTGTTTACATCCCGAGTCGCCGAAGCCGTAGCCCAGGCTTGATAACACTCCTGCTTACTGCGTAACGCAGTCTTACAGGAGCGACCAAACCAAGGCTGAGATCTGCCTCCGATGGGTACCACAGATGATGGAATAAATAGTTCCATTCCCTGTAGCACCACATCAGTGACAGAGTCAGCAACAGCGCTGGGATCATCCGGCGAGAAGCAAACCCGCCCCCATGGGTAGGATGCAAAGAAAGCCCGCATCCCGTCCCAATCCGCCGACCTGTAATGCCAAACACGGCGGCAACCTGCAAAACGCAACCGCGAGGGGAGCGTGAGTGGCACCACACTCCGGATCAGACAATTGTCCGAAGAGCCGAGAGGGGCATCGACGGAAACCTAATATCCGTCCGGATGAGAGGTCAGCAGAAGGTCCAGCAGGGAAGATGTATGATCTTCCACATCTGGAATCCGCGTAGGCGAAGTAACCAGCTGTGTCAGACCATATGCCAAAGCAAAGTCATAAACAGATCTCCCCGCATGATCGGTTAAACGTGAACCGAGCTATTCGGCGTGGTGGGCGTTAAAATCGCCAAGGATCACGATCTCTGCGGATGGGACCTGTTGTAGCAAAGAATCTGTAGCCATTTGGACGTGGTCAATGAGTCGGTCTGTTTCGGCATTACCGCTATGGGACCTATAGAGGCACACGTAGATGCGCGGATGGTCGTCGCTGTCTACGCGTAGCCATAGGATGGACAGGTCCGAACCTACAAGACTGCCGAGGCGTCGAGAACAGATGTCCTCTCTGACATACACGAAAACTCCAGCCCGAGGCACAAAGGAGTGCTCCAATTTGTACCCCGGGTAGGAGAGATACGAAATATCAGCCGGAGAAGAAACCTGCGTCTCGGTCAGAAAGAGCAAGGCTGGTTTCACCGTCTCGAGATGGTATTGTAGATTAGAAAGCTCTTACAAAACAATTATTTAAGTATACATGACAAGTTTTCATTTACTTTATTGTCACTCTGACTTGACATTGGCAGAAGTATAATAAGAAAAGCCATAAAGTAAAGATAAACTTGCATTAGACTTACTGGATCAAACATATCGGACTGAGACAGTTCAGTCTTGAAGTCAGCAGAACCCGCCAAAATCAGTCCTGCTACGTTGGGACGGTCTGCACTGATGAACAATTGTGTAGCAACCTCTGCAACTTTGCGCACGTAGTTGTGACGCTTTTCCATTCGAAGACGGGCGAAACGCAACGCAGACTGACCACCACGACCGTGCTTCTTCGGCAGATCTACAGTGAACTTGTGGAGCACCTGTAAGTTGATATTCCTTTTTATAATAACTTTACTTAATAATAATGTGCTTCAAAACGAATTTCGGTCACTACGGCCAACCTCAATAGCAATCTGTGCAGGATGGAATAACAGGTGCATCTCTATTCCCTCACTCTAATTGCCCGATGAGACAGCAATCCAAATTGTCTTTTTTTTATAGGATAGTGTGACAAACGAGCACACAGTCCACCTGATGGTATGTGGTTGCTGTGGCTCATAGACATCTACATCTATCCTCGTTTGCGAATCAAAATTCAGATGTGTTGTCACCCGTGAGGATTAAGATGGAATGCCTCTTTTCCAGTAAAAAGGGTCTCCGGTTCTCTACAATCACCATATGAAACACAGTAGTGTTAAACTGCTGTTTTACGCTGGTATTCAAAGTCTGTAGTCTGTCTGGAGAGAAATCAGACGTAAGACCAAAAGACTTTTTCCTTTCCAAAGCACAGGGGTGAAACACCACCAATTATCTGACTATGGCCTACTTCTTGGGCTGGCTTGGGCACAAAAATAAAATTACTGATTTGGACCAGATCAAGCATTCAAACCCAGGAACACGTGATCAGCAGTGAAGCTGATGACCACTTGACCAACAAGTCAATCAATGGTTGATAGTTAATAACAATGAAAATACATTATATAAGAAGAAAATCAGTAATTAGTGTAAAACAAAAATTATTAGTATTCATACAACCATCCGGATCCCCATCTGCCAAGCGAAGCAACTATGTCAAATATTACCCATATGAGGGAGACCTATGTTCAGCAGTGGAATTTTGAGAGGCTTTAATGATGATTATTATACTAATAATTCGACCAATAGCTGGGCACACGCCTTCTCTGACCTCTCGAAGTTTTTTGAGCAGGTAAGGGTCTATTGCACTATAACAATGGGTGTTGGAAAACATGACATATCTTCAAAATATTGTTGCTTCTCTGACGTACAAGTTTCCCTTCTCAATACTAATGATAATCAAACAATTAAATTACAATTTTCAGTGGACATGCTGGGATAGAACACTTTTGTGCTATGAAATGACCATATAGTAATGGTGTAATAGTATGCATCACAACATTTTCCCCCATGGGTGAAAAATCAACGTCAACTGTCAAATAAGTGATACTAGCCAAGCATCAAGCCGTAAAAATCTTTAAAAATGCAAAGTACATCAGGGAAAACAAATAAAGAGTGCATATATTGTTTTCATTAAATTAGTAAGGTGCTCGTTTGATCCTCGAAATTATTAAGTAGGAATCCATTATAAAATTTGCTGTTGTGTTAGGTGTTTAAAAAACAATTGATGTATGGAAAACATCAATGTATTTTTTGATATATCAATATAACTTCGATGCCACTGTGCAATGCATTAGATCGACGGAAACATCAATCTTTTTTCAACATTCCATCACTATCTTGTTGCGCCACTCGTTAAATACGCAGATCGGCTAGGGGGTACAACATTAACAATGTGATATCAGATTGTCATCATCAATATGTATGCCCATCATTAATGCAAAATGGCAAACCTTTGTAGTGGCAGTTGAATTTATCAGGCTGGTGAAAAAGTAAAAACATACCTAATATGGTAGACAATTTTATATGTCTTACCTTAGGACCATCTTACCTCTCTAGTGTTTCCTTGCAGTGTACCAAACAGCGCTCCATTACCATCCATCACAATGAGGCCCTCACTGCGTTGCTGGCTGATGACAATAAACTTATCGTCATCAGCCAGCAACGCAGTGAGGGCCTCAGTATGGAACTTGTTGTCACATTGATGTATTGATGGGCTTGAATGGCTCAAAATCAATGTTCACTTTCTTCTCCTTTCCCTCCTCAGTAACAATTGTACCACAGTAGATGACTAGACCATTTGGTGGCACTGCAATAAAAAAAAAACATGATTATATTGCTATGGCAAGCTAAAACATGGCTTGCAATCAGTGGCACAGCGTAAGTAGCTGTCACCTAGAGCCAGAAATTCCACCCCCACCTTCACCCTTATTTTTTTATTTTTTTTTACATAAACAATTTATTCATTGTCATGGCTTTTCCAAGAATTTGACCACCTCCAGTCTATGAAAGAGTTCAGGAATATTTGAACTTCTCACCATCAGTCAGCCTTCAGAGTCTAGTCCATCAATCAGACAGGTCAAGGAAAAGTTGGTGATTAGGGAGAATCGTAGAATATTCTGATTAAATATTAAGCACTCGTGCCACCACACTACTTAACCTTATCCATGAGGAAGTTGACATATTTGTATGTTCTGTGAGTGAATTCACAAGGGCTGCATTATTTATAATATGTTACAATAATAAAAATGTTTACTGTTTTCAATAGCGCATTAGGTCATGTAATGTTAGTGGTAAGTTTGGCTGAATAAATAAATAAATAAAAGATATTCAGTATATTTAAATCAAGAGCTATGGCAATGCTTTTTACTTTTAATTGCTTTACAAATTATATAAAAGACAATGACAGTCTCCAAATTTATAACCATCAACTTTGACCTCATTTCTTCGCTAACATATGATCACTATAAATGATACTGAATATCTTTACTATATTATATAATGTATGTATTATATTATGTATAGTGTAACTCCTAGATCACTTCAATGAATGAGCATAATATATTTTTGGTTTGGTCAAGATGATTCATATTTATGTTAGGATCCAATAAATAGTGCTGTAGTCATGTTTTTAACAAATTCTATATTAATGGAACAAAATGACTAATTTTCACTTTGTTAACAATGTAGGATTAGTGCCAAAAAAATGCTAAACAGGACCTGCTGTACTACTGTGGTAGAGTTATTCATAAGTTTTGTATTTAGTTATTCAAAAATTCGGAGTAAAAATCATCGAGCAACCTACCGGGAAGGCAGGACAGTGTCTGCCAAGCTAGCTAGTATGTATATGAAAATGTCACTGTGCTAGTCAGTAAGGTTTCAGTTACCTTTAGTATAAAGTTTGAGTCGATGCTGCACAGAGGTGATAGCTCCAAGCACAGAAAGCCTGTTAACATGTGACTTGATGTTAAAGGCTGTTCCAAATTCATCCGCCAACATTTTAGAGACTCGCGAGATCTGATCCTTTGGTGGGATGATCAGTGAAATCATTGATGTTCCATTGCTAAAAGCAGAGAAAAGATACAAACATTATAATTTACAGTAAGGACAAGTAGTTACCAAGGTACACATACACGTATTTATTTTAGAACGCGTGATCGCATTTGAGTAATAGCGCCATCTATTATATTTTCTACGTACCACTATGATAGTTAAGCAATTTTGTTTCAATGAAATGACTTTATGTCTAGAAATTAACAAGGGAAGTAATTTTGAAGCCCAATAACGCAGAGCAGTGTTTACTTTAAATAACAATTTGTAAATTTTCATTTAAATAAATTTCTGTTGAGATTATATTAAACTTTGGTTGAATTATAATTACATTAATAATAAATAATTACCTAATTAACAAACTTTAAAAGTGTTTTGTGTTATACTGGTATCTATAATAATTACTTCATTCACTGTGGTGAGTCCTAGTGTTGCCTGAACTGATAATTTCTCTTCTCAAGATCAAAGAAGATGATGCACTGTGACACATATGTATATAATTTTATGTAAATAAATGAATGATATTCACAATCTATGCTATTCAAAAGTCATTCATAAATAATTGAAATGTTTCCCTGTAATACAAAAGTTTCACTTCTATCTTGTGTCTTCATGACACACTGATTTTTGACGTGACAACGTCGTATAATTCCATAGACTTTGTATCTTATAAGACTAAGCATTCCGTGACGTCATCAGCGTGTGAAAGGAATGCACGTATATAGTTAGACATAAGAGTAAGGGAGAAGCAAATCTATATTTCTTGTCTTTTTCTAGGTATGCGTTTTTAATTGTTTTCCCTCCTTTATTTGACATTAACGATGTCAAGCTCTTGTAAATAACATTGATATTATAAGCAAACAGGTAATTGAATTTAGTGTTGTTTGTGGGTTTTAGTTATTAGGTAAGGTTAAAAAGATGGTAAGTTGTAGCATTTTAGGATGCAACAGCATCAGTCAACGAAAAATTGATAATATTACCTTTCATCGGTAAGTTTGTTTTGTGCTTACATTTGCTACTTGTACTGATTAATATCTATTGTTTTGAATAAAAAGTGTAACATTTCATGTGTTTAATGAACTTTGTGATGTATTTTGTCAAATATTTGGACTCCCAAATTGTAAATTCTTCATGATAATGCTCCTTAATTTGAACGGTCATTCGAAAGCTTAAAGTCATAACAAACGTGTACTCTTTATTTGGTAGGATTATAGAAACTTTAGGGATATCAGCGAGTATACATACACTTTTATGTTCAGCTTTAAAGGAAACTCCTTACTGCCCTACAACTCTTCAATCATTTTCCATATTACATAGACGTCACTAATAATATTATGTAAGTATCAACCTGAAAACATGTTTGGATTCAAGTACATAAACATAGGGCAAAGTATATTTAATTTCACAAAATATGTATTGCCTGAAATCAGATGCACAAAACTTAATTGCATTCCATTAGTTCTATTATACATTAGCAACAATTACATTACAATATTTATTAAAAAAAGAAATATGTCATACTAATATAAGTATAAATATAAACTTAGATAAAATAATAAATAAATAAATAAGTCTTAATCTTAAGGTACACAATAACACAACAACATAAGATAATATTCTCAATTAATGATGTAGAAAAAATTTGATGATAATATACTTACCGTTACCATTAGTCAGTATCAAAAGTCAAAAGTTATAGTTTTTGTGATAGTTGCCTAGCTTGGCAGGAGAATTGGCAACTGCTGTTATTTGGAGACAAACTGTGTGGGAAGCCTATGTTCAGCTGTGGAGGACATAACTATGTTAGACTGTAAATGTATTAATTAACAATATCTGAAGCTTAATATGTACATACATTTTTTAAATGTTTGGTATGAGTAATATTATCATTACATTTACATATACTTGCTATTTAATTAAATCAATTGATATTGTATTAATTGTTATAGGTATTGTATTTATGCACAGATACCCATACTTGATTTTTTTTGTTAAATGCCTTGATATAAAAGTGTACTATATATTTAATATATTAATTTCTTTTAAATATATTATTTCACAGCTTTTCTAAGGAATCAGCTATCCGTAACTGTTGGATAATCGCTACTGGTAGGAATTATAGGTAACGAACAAAACTTAGCAGTATATGCTCAAAACATTATGAGCCTCATTGTTTTATGTGGACTAAGTATACTTTACTTATGTAATTTATAATATAATTAAGATTTTTTTTAAATATTATAATTTCTTGTTGTATCTTGTTGTTTCTCCATAAGTGATATAAGTTTGACCTTGTTAGTAGTTATGATTTTTGACATTGTTCTGTATGTATTAAAAATTGACTAGCATTGCTTATTTTATTTTCAAATGCTGACATTCTGTATTATTAAGAGTTGTAATAATTAATATTTTGTTATAAAACATAATGATGATTATTATACTAATAATTCGACCAATAGCTGGGCACACGCCTTCTCTGACCTCTCGAACTTTTTTGAGCAGGTAAGGGTCTATTGCACTGTAATAATGTGTGTTGGAAAACATGACATATCTTCAAAATATTGTTGCTTCTCTGACGTACAGGTTTCCCTTCTCAATACTAATGATAATCAAACAATTAAATTACAATTTTCAGTGGACATGCTGGGATAGAACACTTTTGTGCTATGAAATGACCATATAGTAATGGTGTAATAGTATAGTATGCATCACAACATTTTCCCCCATGGGTGAAAAATCAGCGTCAACTGTCAAATAAGTGATACTAGCCAAGCATCAAGCCGTAAAAATCTTTAAAAATGCAAAGTACATCAGGGAAAACAAATAAAGAGTGCATATATTGTTTTCATTAAATTAGTAAGGTGCTCGTTTGATCCTCGAAATTATTAAGTAGGAATCCATTATAAAATTTGCTGTTGTGTTAGGTGTTTAAAAAACAATTGATGTATGGAAAACATCAATGTATTTTTTGATATATCAATATAACTTCGATGCCACTGTGCAATGTATTAGATCGACGGAAACATCAATCTTTTTTCAACATTCCATCACTATCTTGTTGCGCCACTCGTTAAATACGCAGATCGGCTAGGGGGTACAACATTAACAATGTGATATCAGATTGTCATCATCAATATGTATGCCAATCATTAATGCAAAATGGCATACCTTTGTAGTGGCAGTTGAATTTATCAGGCTGGTGAAAAAGTAAAAACATACCTAATATGGTAGACAATTTTATATGTCTTACCTTAGGACCATCTTACCTCTCTAGTGTTTCCTTGCAGTGTACCAAACAGCGCTCCATTACCATCCATCACAATAAGGCCCTCACTGCGTTGCTGGCTGATGACAATAAACTTATCGTCATCAGCCAGCAACGCAGTGAGGGCCTCAGTATGGAACTTGTTGTCACATTGATGTATTGATGGGCTTGAATGGCTCAAAATCAATGTTCACTTTCTTCTCCTTTCCCTCCTCAGTAACAATTGTACCACAGTAGATGACTAGACCATTTGGTGGCACTGCAATAAAAGAAAACATGATTATATTGCTATGGCAAGCTAAAACATGGCTTGCAATCAGTGGCACAGCGTAAGTAGCTGTCACCTAGAGCCAGAAATTCCACCCCCACCTTCACCCTTATTTTTTAATTTTTTTTTACATAAACAATTTATTCATTGTCATGGCTTTTCCAAGAATTTGACCACCTCCAGTCTATGAAAGAGTTCAGCAATATTTGAACTTCTCACCATCAGTCAGCCTTCAGAGTCTAGTCCATCAATCAGACAGGTCAAGGAAAAGTTGGTGATTAGGGAGAATCGTAGAATATTCTGATTAAATATTAAGCACTCGTGCCACCACACTACTTAACCTTATCCATGAGGAAGTTGACATATTTGTATGTTCTGTGAGTGAATTCACAAGGGCTGCATTATTTATAATATGTTACAATAATAAAAATGTTTACTGTTTTCAATAGCGCATTAGGTCATGTAATGTTAGTGGTAAGTTTGGCTGAATAAATAAATAAATAAAAGATATTCAGTATATTTAAATCAAGAGCTATGGCAATGCTTTTTACTTTTAATTGCTTTACATATTATATAAAAGACAATGACAGTCTCCAAATTTATAACCATGAACTTTGACCTCATTTCTTCGCTAACATATGATCACTATAAATGATACTGAATATCTTTACTATATTATATAATGTATGTATTATATTATGTATAGTGTAACTCCTAGATCACTTCAATGAATGAGCATAATATATTTTTGGTTTGGTCAAGATGATTCATATTTGTTAGGATCCAATAAATAGTGCTGTAGTCATGTTTTTAACAAATTCTATATTAATGGAACAAAATGACTGCTTTTCACTTTGTTAACAATGTAGGATTAGTGCCAAAAAAATGCTAAACAGGACCTGCTGTACTACTGTGGTAGAGTTATTCACAAGTTTTGTATTTAGTTATTCAAAAATTCGGAGTAAAAATCATCGAGCAACCTACCGGGAAGGCAGGACAGTGTCTGCCAAGCTAGCTAGTATGTATATGAAAATGTCACTGTGCTAGTCAGTAAGGTTTCAGTTACCTTTAGTATAAAGTTTTAGTCGATGCTGCACAGAGGTGATAGCTCCAAGCACAGAAAGCCTGTTAACACGTGACTTGATGTTAGAGGCTGTTCCAAATTCATCCGCCAACATTTTAGAGACTCGCGAGATCTGATCCTTTGGTGGGATGATCAGTGAAATCATTAATGTTCCATTGCTGAAAGCAGAGAAAAGATACAAACATTATAATTTACAGTAAGGACAGGTTAACTTAGAGATTAGGGTCTCTTCCCTCTACAATGTTCCATATTGTGACTGTAACCATATTGGCACATGCAAAAAAAATCGGTTGTCTGTAAAGTCGGTTTACTGACGATAGTTGAACGTGACAACGTCATAAGAAAATGTTACTATAAACAATTGACACCACATTCACTTTTCACTGCACTTCATACTTGACGAAGACATGTAAATGTATTATTGTATAGCAGCTGTCCATGCGGACGCATCGCTCACTCAAGTAGGAGAGAGACAGATGTTGAACGCTGCCGAACGGCAAGGCCGATTGTGCCTCTTTGTCGCTCGTTCCGCGCTCTCGCTTGCACTTCAAGCCTTTAATGGAACGCCTCAGAACGAAGTAACGCCACATGAGTCACGTTTTTTCGTGCGTGCAGCTAGCTTCATCGAATTATACGTAGATTGAGGATTGACTATATAAAGCATTCGCGTATGCTTTTGAGATAGAAATAGGCGGGAGGTACTTTCACTGGGTTACCAGATATTGTTCAATTTCCCCCGTTATGGGTTTATTTATATTCACAGCACTTACATACATACAAAAAAACTTAATTGTAACCATAAAAAATGTTCTTTTATAATTCAGATGTTTAATTCATTTCTCTTGAAAATACATTCTGTGACTAAAAACTACAGGCGGAAACGGCGTAAAAACAGAATCATCATTCAATAAACTCTTTGGATTTTGACGGCACTAAGTGAAGACGCTACTAGCACTACTAGTGTGATATTGCTAATAAATAACAATATGTTATATACATAAATATTACTTAGTAATAAATAGTACTTAAATATTAATTAAGAATACAAATATTATATAATAAACAAAAATTTCCTCGTGTAGTTTTATTTTTACAAAAAAAAATCAATAATGTTTTAACATACCATTCCATCACAAGTTCAGTGCTGAACACAGACCTCCGAAAGGAAAGGCTTTCCACTTAGGTTTTGTAGTACAAAACACGGTAAAGAGGCTACTCCCGCGATTTCCTGCATGTTTTGCTAAGTTAGTGTCTTGTGTGCGGCAAGTTGTGGCGTACAAGAGAATTTGTCTGTACACGGAATGATATTACCCCGCGTCGTAAGCAATAATACAAGATGGGGATGGGGCAGCAGCACTTTTCCGATAAAAACTTAAAATAATAAATAACTGCGGTGGCCAACCAGCATAACGCGTATTTTCAGGCAGGCGTGGCAACTATGGTAAAAGTCATCTTATGAGGATAGGGAAGGCCTTTTTTACGTGACTTACTTATGGTTAGGTGGCTTAATCATGTTACCTGATGGTTAAGGTGGTAAAATGTTTTAGTTAATATACGTTGTAAAGCATCAACAAAGGGTTCGTTTTTGTAATATGTTGGTATATAAAATAAAAACGAATGTTTTATAATATTCTATTTTAATTTACCATGCAGTGTAAGATTATCTGCTACCTCATATCATTCCATGGTTGGTGTATGAGACGACATAGGGAAACATCAAAGAAGATAAACAGCAGCATCTTCCTGATAACAGCTAAATAAAAATAAAAAAACAGTGGTTGACAACCCGCTTTCCAAGCGTTGAAACTATGTCAAATAACTATAATCATGTTTATGTTCAACAGTAGACTTTTGATTGACTGTGAAGATATATATTCTATTCAAATGAAAAAATATAGAAATATAAAAAGGAAAAAGAACTAAAAAACGAAAAAGTTTTGCTATTTTGTAATTTGGACGCCAAAGACAAAAGACTGCATGGAAATTAATATAATTGAAAGAGATGATGCGTTTTGGACTACAGGCAATATTTTACAATTTTCGTCTGTAATATAATATAATTATAAAAGTAAAAAAAAGTAAAGTCTATATTCGATTACTATATAAAATTGCAACAATTTCATTGGTGCCGACGGGGATCGAACCCGGGTTGCTCGCGTAATGTGATACTTACAGCGAGCGCTAACCATCTGAGCTACCACGGCTCTCAATGCAAGTGTTATAAATAAATAAAGAATTACAAAACAGTTTAATTATTTATTAGACGACTTTTGCGGCGGACAAACAAAGTATATTATGTGGGATTTTCATAGGTACCTACTCTTATTACCTAGATACCTACAACCTACAATACAACAAAATGTCACAAAACGTCGCCGCGTCGTGGCCACAAAATTGTAAACTTTAGGTAGGTACGTCAGTAGTAAGAAAACAATCTTGATGGGTCACTTGTCTTGATAAAAACCTGTGCTTACGTTTAGTGATATTGAGTATATATAAAAATGTAAGAAGACAGGTAAGTAAGTATTTTTGAAAACAATTTATAGGTAGTCAGAACTAATTACGATTATAATCTTAATATTATAAATGCGAAAGTTTAGATATTTGGATGGACGGATGAATGGATGTATGTTACTCAATCACGCCAGAACGGCTGAAGAGATCTGGATGATATTTTGCTCAGAGATAGGTTATAGTCTGGAATTTTTATTTATTTTTTAAAAAAACGTTACCCCCACACTAGGATTTTCGCCTGTATCGTGGAGGCAGTTTACAAACATCCAGACCCGGAACAATTATTTGTAGGCCATACAAATACTTGCTCGATTGATTCGAACCCGCGACTCCCAGTACAACAATTCATTGCTAAGCCACTGCGCCACGGAGCTGTCAAATAACATATATGATACCGTTTATTCAGGTATTTCGTTCCCGTGGGATAATTTTCGAGTTACACACGTTCGAAGCCGAACTCTTGAGTGATCGCTGCATGACCACTCGGGGAAATTTAAACATAATAAAATAAGCAATCTATATTAGGTATATAGAGCCACAGAGGTATAATATGAAGCGATAAAGCAGCACCTAATAATTTCGCGGTTTCACCCGCGTCATCACGTGTCCGAGATGCGTGGCATGACATGACACCTAGTTGAAGCATTTTATAATTGCAATCAAATATTTTATTTGATAGTAATGTATGGAAACATTGTCATGATTAATGGAGTACTTTTATTTTATCTGCCGGCATATTATGCGCGGTTTTTTCCAGTTTTAAAGAAAAACGTACACGAGACATGAAAAGTGTGTAGGCAAGAAATGATTCTTGATAAATTTACTATCAACCTCTCATACTTATTAATCAAATAAATTTAAACTTTCAAAATACCATAGCAACGTGAAATGAAAGAGTTCAGAAATAAAGATGTAACTAATCATTGTTACGCTCACCCGGGAGATAGATAAAAGTACTCAATTAATTTTGAATTTATTTTAGCTACTAGCTGTTCCCCGCGACTTCGTCCGCGTTTAGTTTAGGGCGTTAATTTTATTGCAGACACTTAATATTTTTTCTAAAATTTAAGCAGTCTTAAGTTATTTCTTATAACATGACCTATCTACTAGTGAAAGTCCCGTCAAAATCGGTCCAGCCGTTTTGGAAATTAACCGGAACAAACAGACTGACAGATATACAAAAATGTTAAAAATTGTGTTAATGTTATAAGTACAGTATACAATTTCATACGCAATTAGTAAAAAGTTGTTATTTTGACATTACAAATAGACACTTCAATTTTATTTATTTGTGTAGATATAGATAACGATTGAACTTACGGCTAACCTAACCTCGCTCATAGAAGCCTTATACTGGCTTCTCAGTTCGCACCGGGCTAGGGGTTATGCGTTGTTTGCGCGTCAAGCCAAGTATTGAATTATTTTAATTTTACATTATCTCTTAAACTATGTACTATATAAACATGGTATTAAGAACGAAGTTTATCTTCATAAAATTGTCTTGATTTGTAAGGATAAATATGCCATGCCTAATAATTAAATTTTCATTTTTTTTTGTCACAAAATGCCTAATTGTGGCTTATATATAAGAAATAGACTTTTTTTTAGACGGAGTAAAGATCTATATTTTTCTAGAACATTGTATTTACGTATCCCGAACCATAACAGCGCTTTTTCTTCTGACTTCCACAAATATAGGCTAGCTGAGATATATAGCCTAATGCTATATGGCCTATACTATTCAACATGAATCTGGCTATAATATGCAAAAAAAGATTTTTCAAATCGGACTGGTAGTTCCAGAGATTAGCACGTTTAAACAAACAAAAACACTCTTCTGCTTTATTATATTAGTATAGATGTTGCTATCTATACTAATATAATAAAGCAGAAGAATCGTGTTCGTGTAACTTCGTTTTGATTCTAACGGTTCGGAACAAGACGTGCGTGAATACTAGTGTCGATATGCTCATCACTGATACTATCTCTGTCGGGCACTATGCCAGGTGAGACAGCGTGCTTTTTGGCCGCGCCCACCAGCGAGTTCGAGCCCGCGACTTGTGCCACCTTAAAGGCTTGAAGTGCAAGCGAGAGCGCGGAACGAGCGACAAAGAGGCACAATCGGCCTTGCTGTTCGGCAGCGTTCGACATCTGTCTCTCTCCTACTTGAGTGAGCGATGCATCCGCAATCCGCATGGACAGCTGCTATACAATAATACATTTAAATGTTTTCGTCAAGTATGAAGTGCAGTGAAAAGTGAATGTGGTGTCAATTGTTCATAGCAACATTTTCTTATGACGTTGTCACGTTCAACTATCGTCAGTAAACCGACTTTACAGACAACCGATTTTTTTGCATGTGCCAATATGGTTACAGTCACAATATGGAACATTGTAGAGGGAAGAGACCCTAATCTGTAAGTTAACCTGTCCTTACTGTAAATTATAATGTTTGTATCTTTTCTCTGCTTTCAGCAATGGAACATCAATGATTTCACTGATCATCCCACCAAAGGATCAGATCTCGCGAGTCTCTAAAATGTGGGCGGATGAATTTGGAACAGCCTCTAACATCAAGTCACGTGTTAACAGGCTTTCTGTGCTTGGAGCTATCACCTCTGTGCAGCATCG